AACCCTCTTGAGATGAACAATAATATGCTGCAGCTATGCGAAGAACAACAAACATCTCAAGGCTTTCAGATACCATGATTTGAACAGGGTGTGTGATGTCAAAAATATGAGCAATGGACACCTTTGTGATCTACCTCTATGTGCAAGACTTCAGATCATTATTCTTGTCAGATCTTGTCAGGATATGTTCGCGTCACTGCGAATAACGTCAAAACCCGGTGTGTGTCACATGTCAAAGCCCTCTTGCGGTTCCCCTGCAGTATGGCATTTGCGTGCTTCTCTTGAGGGTGCAAGGACCAATGCAGTGTCCTACTTGACCCCCACTCTAAGTGAACATTGTGATGGTTGACCATCACTACCCTTAATTGCCACGCTGTAGAGGCTAGTGAATCAGAGTAAGTTCACCTTCCATCCACGGCCTACTTTGGTTCTTCCACGGCGCGATATCAGTCGGCGCCAAAGACTTTCTTGAGATAGAACCTCTCCGTCACTAGAGCTTGTGCAGAAAGAGACACATTTCGCTTGTACAGCTCTGCTCCCAGCTCGACCGGTGGGTCCCAGCTTGGGACGTCCCCCGAAAGGGACGGTTCGATCGCATGTGGGCGAGCGGCAGGAGTTTATGAGCACCAAAGGCGCTTTTCGTTGGGGGCTGGGTTCGAGGCGAAATCTCCGCGGTAGATGTAGATCTTCATTGATATATAGTTTGCTGCGATTACTGAGCCACTGGAGATTGAATCAATTGTTGGACCTTCACACAGCGTGGTTGGTGTGCGAAAAACAAAAAAACATAGTTGTTCAGAAGCTCCATGCTTGAAATATAAGTCGTTTCAGAACTGGCAAGTATAGAAGAAGGACTTCTCACAACTGGTCCCTCAACTGTTTGCTTTTGAAGAGGTACTATCCATTGTTTGCTAAGTCAGATTTGCCCAGTGTGTGTGTGTGTGTGTGCACTAGTTTCCCCCCGTTTGCATCAACGTACAGGCTGCAAGCTGGTGTTGGGTGTGAACAACTCCTCCAAGCGGCAGCTGCCGGACTTTGGCGGAGGCCCGGGCCCACACGGCCCCACACGGCCCCACACGGCATGGTTTTCGCAGCCAAAGAAACCAGAAAGCCAAATGGTCCAAAAGAAACTCTCCATAGATTGAATGGCCATCTCAGGTGTTTTCAAACCTAAAAGATCACCTGCTAAATCCACATGATCTTGCACTGTCTTTCGTTCCAGACTTCCTTGACCATCTCCAGCCTCCAGCTTCCAGCCTCCGGAGGCCGCTGTGAGAAGACGGTGACCAATGCGGGTCCTTCGATCTTCCTACCTGCCAAGGGTGGAATGGAGGCCGTCTCGCGCCCGTCCGGCGACGGGGAGACGGGGCAAGAGGGACTGAGAAGGCATGGCCCAGGCATACCTGGTCACCTTGGGACTTGGTTGAAATCTCTTGGAGATTGGTCATACCTTGGTCACCTTTGTGTGTGTTCTTCTTTTTGTCCCGAGGGTGTGCTGAAACATTGCATCCTGATGTGATCCTCCAAGTCTTCTCGCACTGCGAGCCGCATCTCAGGTACCGGTGTTTCATCAGGGCGTGCGCGAACCGTCGCGGGGTGACGGTGATTCCGGCCGATTCCGCAGGTCTTCTTGGACTCTCAGGTGTTCTCGCACCTCGATGATCAAACGCCACTCTCGTTGGCCGAAGGGTTCGGTTGGGTATGCTTTGCTCTTGGGTTTAGCATGGGGGCTGCAAGAAGGAGAAGGAGTGTGTGGATGTGGGATGGGTAGGGTGAGACGTGGAAATTGCGGGTGAGTTGACCTGTGTGTTCGTGTAAGATACTTGGCAGATCCGGACGGAGATCTGGATGGATTGTGCGGTCCTGTTTGGGTCTTCAATTGGACCCTCCCCCTACAAGGATGCGCAGGACGTCTTTGCTGTGTTTTTTTGCTTTGCTGAGGAAGACGGGCTGCAGCAAGGCTCAAAAGCAGAAGGCCGGACCGGGCCGGGCCATATGGAGGCGATCGTGGAACCAAACTGCCGAGGAATGACCCTGTTGAACTTATTATACATGCAATACGGAGAGAGACAGAGGATGACGGAAGCAAATTGATGATGCATTCCTTGGGTTTTGTTGATAGGTTGTTTGTATGGGTCAAATTGAAACGCCTTGTTGGATTCAACGCTTGCTTTATGACATTGTTACGATTGTCATGTGTTCTGACTGTAGTCTTTTTTAAGCGCTCCACATCCAATCCTTGAAATTCCAAGAAGTCACAAGAGGCCTTAATGATGTATATACAGTACATCGTACAGTACATGTATATATAGTATATATATATAATATACATACATAAATAAAGATCCCACCGGGATCTCATCGGAATCCATTTAAACGTCTTTAAACCACCGCTCCCTTCCCCTCCGCCGCAGCCGGCAGATGCCCGCAGGCACTGGAGGCGCTTCGCTCCGAGCTTCCGAGGCCGTGATCGATGCCCTGGAATGGACATGATATAGAGATTATCTAGTCTTACTACTGTAGTAGTAGTAGTAGTAGTAGTAGTAGTAGTAGTAGTAGTAGTAGTAGTAGTAGTAGTAGTAGTAGTAGTAG